GCTCTCGGCGGGGGAGGCGGGGGCTGCTTCCTCGTGGCGCGGGTAAGGCCCGGCCTGGGGCCGCCGGTGTCTGCAGCCCTGGGGCGGGGCTTCGGCTACGGTCACTCGTCCCAGCGGTGCGGTGGAGCCGCCGGTGAGGCTGAGCCCGCCCGGGGCCGGGTCGCGCCGGGCCTGGCGGCGGGGTCCCCGGGGAGGCGTCCGTGGGGGGGCCCCGGCCCCCTCGGCGGGATCGATCTCGGTCTCCCACTGGTGGGGACGGTCAGTGGCGAGCTGGTGCTTCGGTTCGCCTCGCCTCACCTCACCTAGCCTCAGCCTGGGAGGTCGGGAGGTTTCCTTCACGCCCCTTCCCTGGGGGGGGTTTGGCCAGGCCGGGAAGCGAGGCGGTGAGGGTGGACGGAGAAAGGTCTGTGTCCAGAGAGGCACTTAGTGCTGAGGAGCTGCCCGAATTGCCCCGGGGCACGGTACCCCCCCCAAGCCGCCGCCGCCACCCCTGACCTGACGTTTTGTTGGTGCTTTTTGAAGGGGACGCCACGTCAGGAGGTGAGAAGAAAACCTGATGCCCCCCCCCAAGCACGTTTCTTTTGGAGAAACATGTGGCCTGTAGAGCTTCGTTTGGGACGAGGAGAGGTGACTGTGTAAGTGTCAACTTGTTTCAGCACGGCTGTGCTTTTACAAAGGGTAGCAACCGCCACGCCCCGTGTGGGGAGTTAGGGGTCGGGTGCGTGCTCCCCAGCCCCTTCTCTCTTGCCCTGTGGTCCGCCATGACAGACAAACGGGAGCTGCTTTGTTAGTTCCCCTGGGCCTGGCGTGGGTGTTGGCATGTATTATCTGAGCATAAATCTGAAGGTGGCAGGTTTAGTTCTAGAATCACCGAGGCCTGGGAAGTGAACTTGGCGTGGCTCCTTTACATGCAAGGAGGCTGTAGCTGTATTTCCACGTGGCTCCCTTGATAGGAGCCTGTACTGAATCCGGGCACAGCGCTGCCCTGTGCTTGCTGGGGTTGATAAACGCTGCGGCGAGCAGCGTCAGTTTCAGAGGCGTAGGTTACCAGACGTAGCCGCCAACAATTGGATTCCAGTTCCAGGAGGTGAAAAACGTCAGGAACGGCTTAGGTCAGAGCGTCCCCAAGTAACTGGAGGCACTCTTGCTTATGACTGTTGTTGCTGTGCTGAAAACCCACGGGTTGAAGTACTGCCTCACGATAACATAGATGGCAATATGAGATACAGATCTAGAGAGATCTGTAGGTATGTGCATCTGAGAATTCCCTTCCTAGTGCAGCTTCTGATTGTGACAGCTTTGGCACTTGACAGTAAATTTTGTTAAATGTTAGACTTGTTGTTTTTGCGACTCGTGGTGGTTTGAGTGGTAGTTTGGGTGCGAAGGTGGTAACCGATGATCTGAGGTGAACTGGTACCTTCCTACTTGCCAGTGCTTCATTTGACCTTGAGCTTGATGCTTCTAGGCTAGAAAATAGAGGGGAGGAGGGAAATGCAGTAGCATAGGTGTATACACGCACGCGTGCCTGTATGTACGCGTGCAATGCAGGTCGTATTCATGAGCGGTTCATACGTCCAAGGTTGTTAGCGGGATGGGAAGCATTTGATGTGCTGCAAACTTTGTCAATGTTAACTACAGCATTTTCATTGCTCTGCTTTGATGCTGTGCTTCTCTGATTAAGGACTAAAGCAATGCCCTGCTTAGGGGCGCAGTCCCTCGGAGTGTTTGAGGATGAGCAGTGTCACCTGAGGGCGGACAGCAGTGGCTCTCGTGGGATGGCTGCACCGACTGAAGGCAGACGAAATTCTGGCGTTCGTCAAATCACGTCAGCACGGTTGTGGTGGAGCAAGTGCCAGCAGAGGTCACGATCCTCGTCTCCTGTCGACCCTCAGCACATCCTGGTAAACAGAACAGGGTAGCTGTCGAAACAACCACCTTTAGTTGACGATCTCGATGACTGCTGACTTAGGAACCAGGTGCTGTTGGATACCAACAGCAAAAACTATTTCACCACCTAATTAAAAAAAAATAATAATAACGTAAGGGGCAAAACTTTAGGATTTGTGTCCTAAAAGAGTTATCAGATTTGGGAACGTTGTGCTTTTAATGTTCTTTAACTCATGGTGGTGTAGCATTCCTGATGAATTTTGTAGCAGTCATCCTGAAATATTGCTTAGCTACAGGTTTCACTGGAATTTTGTAGATAATTACTTGTGGATTTTAGGATGTTTCTTCATGTATGTTGAGGTGAAAGGTGTGTATGGCCAGAGGAAGAGCAAAGGTTTGGGTTTTATAGGTATTTATACACACAGAAATAGACATTAGCTTATATGAAAATGTACTTAAATAATGATGTAATGATTAAAGGAACCATACGTTTACGTAATACACGCACTTTTTATGTACATGTAGTGGCTTTACGCTTTAGTACTATACAAAAGTAGTATTGTGGTAGTCAGTTCTTCTGCTGTGTTCCTTAAATCTGCTGGGTTTTTTCCGGTTTAACGTGAACTGTACCGGTCTGTTCGGCAATTATTTATTTGGTGCATGCTTTTTCCCTGAGAAGAAGGACTTGGTCTCAGTCGTACTTGCTGGCTGTAGCTATCTCCGTTGTAGGCTAAATTTCTCGCCATCTGTTCTGTGTTTTAGTTTCCTTCTCACGCAAACCGTGGTGACAAACAGTACCCGAAAGGCTCTGGTGCTTCCAGACGGTGGCTTGATGGCCTGCGTAACCTACCTCTCGCCTCATCTCAAGGAACGTATGAATGGCGTTACAATTAACTAAGGTAGCGTCCCGCTTTAGGAAGGAGGCGTGTGGGTTTTGAAACCCTTGGGTAGGACAGGAGGAGCTTGCCGTCTTGGGTCAGTGATGAGCGTTGGCATGTATTATCTGATCTAGAGTTGATGTCTATCACCACTTTAGCTCTAGAATTACTCTGAGACCCAGGAAGCTCCAGTTTCCTTAGGCTGCGCCCTTGGGCTCTTCCCAAGTACGGCATCAAATTGCTGTCACAAACTCTAACCCAGCATAAGGAGAAGGGGGCGTGGTTTGAGTTTTATTCCGTTTATGCACGAGGAAGGTGGAGTTGTTAGGTTAATGCTAGCTGTTATGAGAGATGCTGTCACGTTAACCGAATGCCACTCTGCGTACCCAAAGTTGAACAGTGTTAGCAAATGCTGGTGTAGAGGTTTGGTGGTAAACTTTGGTGGTAAACTTAACCAGCCTGTCTTAATGAGCATGCCTGTTCTTAATTCACAAACACTGTTTAGTCCCACCTCCACATCCAGAGTGTTTGAAAGGGCGTGTCATATCTTCCCTTGGTCACGGTTAAGAGTCAGGTGTCCAGATTTTCTTTTTAAGGAGTATGCTGTGGTTCTGTCTTTTCTGTTGGGGTTTGTTCTGTTATTTCTGAAATGCACTTACAGCTCAACAGAAGGAGTCTGATACCTGATGTAGCAGAGATGACGACATGGTTTATTACTTCCGTTTTTGGGATTTCTTAGGGAGAAATGACTTGCATCGGTGTGACCCCAGAATTAGGTTGTTTCAGAGTTTGTGGCTAGGTTCCACTGGAAATGTTGACTTTGGTGTAGTAATGACTCAAAGTGTGTGGTAGGAGAGCTCTGTTGGTGTGGCTGCGCCAAGCAATTGTTCAGCTGCACGTGTAGCTTCTTTGGTTTAGCTTCCAGGTGTGAGTATGCAAAAGAAAACTTGCAACTCTAGTCAGCCTTGCTCCAAAACCAAAATGCTTTCTGCTTCTGCCCAGGTATCCAAGAGAGCCCTGAACATTCCAGGCAGGCCAAGAGTTGTGCCCCAGTATCTCTGAGAGTCCACAGCTCTGCAGTTCTCCAGTAGGGCACTACAGGTAAAGTTTAAGATCACGTAGCTCTTTGCAAGTTACGCCATTGGAGTTTATTTGCCTCTCTGGCTAT